AGGTAAATGGCTCAGGGTGTTGCTGTTTTCTGTTCTTCTAATAATCCCTGGAAATCTGACTAGACTTCTAAAACTCACTGGTTTTGACATGTTCCTCTGAGTTTATTGTGAGACGAACAACAAAAATTACAAATACTGCCAGTACTGAGTAGACCTGCTTTCACAGGCTGTGCTGTGGAACGCACAGCATCGGCCGCTCTGCTCCATTGTAGCTTGGGAACAGCACAAGCATTTCCTTATTCCTGAAACCAGCCTTGAATCTCCCATGTCCAGGAACGCTGTAAGGCTGCAGTTGTTCCTCCCAGCTGCCAGGACTGGAATTGTGGTAGTCCCTGAAAGAAATGTCTCATTGCTTCCTATTGCTTCAAGTGCTCTCAGAGCCCTCTCTGCCCCAGCTGGGAGATCAAAGAAAAGAAGGAAGAGGCTACTTTCTCAAATATAGAGAATTTAGGCTGCAAGAGGGGCAGAAATGCTGAAAGGGGTATAGTTTAATACTTACACGTGCAGAAATATGCCCATCTACCCAATCCACTTGTTGTAGCTTGTTCTGAAATATTCCAAAGTTATGGAAGACGTCAGTAACACTGATTCATTTTATTACCTTGTCTTCTTCAGGTTAACCTTTTCTGAGGTGTAGGAGATATTATTTATGACTACGGGAAAGTGGAACCAAGCAACGAGTCAAAATGCCTGGCTTTGGCCCGGGTCGCGTATGGTCAGTCTGGCGCACACAAAAAAGTTGCTCTGTGCCTATGTAAATGGGGACGAATTTCTGGAGCGATGGATTATATTCAGCAACTGGAGCGTTTTTCTGTAGGTAAATAGTAAGGCTCTTGTATTGTCTTTCATGATTGTTCTACAATATATCTATTTCAGGTTTAACGGTGATGTTTTGGACCACATTTTTGTAGAAAGCATTTGAAGTGAATACAAATATCCAAACTTTTGTCATTGTGTTTACCAAGATGTCAAGAGCTCTGTTAAAATGTCCTTATGTATTTTATCATAATATCAATACGTGCATGCTCTGATGAAGTAAGGAATTACTTTTTGTACACCCGCTAGAAAATCTCCACAGTGTTTTGGCAAGGACCCCAGTAGGAGGCTGTGGGGTTCTCAGAGCCTACAGTTCTAAACCCAAGGTTGTCCCTCTCTGGTGGATCGTGAGTTCATTAATCAAATGAAAGGAAAGAAGGGTGCCCTGTGTTCTTTCTTAGGTTCCTTTCTACTTAACTGCCTTCTGGCAGTGTACTTTTTTTTCTTCTGTATGTATTCTTGCTTAGACTGTTGTTGCTCAGTTAAGTTACAGTTTTTCATTCTTATTTTATTTTCTGGCCATATTTCAGGTAATTTTAAGGGAGGATTTTCAGGTTATCATCTCTTCTAGGGTTTGTTGATTTTCTCATTCTATGAGATCTCTAAAATAATTACAGGAAAAAATATTCTTTATACCCAAGTAAAAGAAGGTTAGATTTCAGTGTCACCACTAGCTTTTCCACAGTGTTCAAGGAAATCAGTCAAGATCATTGTGGGGTTTTATGGTGAGGAAAGGGAGAGGTAACCGTATGCAAATACGTCATAATCTTGGTATTTGATTCTTCAGATGATTACTTCTTTCTGTTGGAAAGCTGTCCTAGCACTGCATGAATTTGCTGTCTCAGTCAACAGTGGATTAGAAAACCCCGTTTCCATCTATGGGGGCTACAATCCTGTCTTTTGTCTCAGCCGATCACAAAAGGCATGGTTTTGAGCTTCTGGAGGAAATGAGCAAGAAAAGTAAGCGCAGCAAAATTTTAATAACAAACTTTCACACTTGAAATTTTAATTCAACTCCCATTTCAGCCTGTAAATTACTTTGGATCCAGTGCTCCTAGTTTATAATGTCATCTGAATAAAAGCTTTTCCCTCACGGTGAGCTGAACCGTGCATTCTCACGTCTTCCAGAGCTCCCACAGGGATGAGGGTCACTCTGTCAGATTTGAGGGGCCGTTGTGCTTGCACTCGCACGCAGGGTCAGTCTGTGCGGTTGCACAGGGCATCCCTTGGGGCAATTCTGCCACTGAAATAACTCTGCGGGCACTCTGCTTGCTTCTAGCAGAGCCTCTGTAGGCTGGCTCTTGGGCAGCCTGCAACTTCAGCATTTACTACTTAGGATGCAAAAAAAATAAAGTCCTACTTTGCTGTAAGGTTTGTAAGTTTTCGGAGGGACTTTTTTCTACGCTGCCAGACACAGGGGCAGAAGCTCTTCAGGCAGCATGAACTCAAGCCAGGAGCAGACAGCTGCAACAAACCAGATGGGCAGCAAGTGCCAGGTCCTGAAACTACTCTGCAGGCAAACTAATACTTATCTGCCTGGACTTAGCCAGGAAAAGTGCTTAAATTTAAAGATAATATTTCTGAAAATTAGGATTTCTGCATCTAGGGGTGGTTATTTGTATCTATTGTGCTTATTGTGTCTTGCTCCGATAAACTGACCTTAACTTCAGTGCCTGCAACTCTCCTGGCATTCCGTTGCCCTTATGGCTTTCAGAAGTGATTTTGAGTGCGATCGGGGATTTTGGCCTTTAAGCTTTTTCAATTAAAATAAACACTGTTTTTCTTATGGGTCTTTAATTTGATCAGCTTGCCTTTTTTTTTTTAAAAAGGATAAATTCAGAAATAGGATTTATAATCCACCTATAAAAACAGTGAATGATTGTGCAGCATGCTTAATATGAATAGTACAAAGCTTATTAGGGCAAATGCAGGATCTGTAAACGTGGTTGTTTTTTCTTAGACGCATTGGAACAGGTTATTCTAAATTATACTGTTTGTACTTTGGAAGACTGGAATAAGATAGCAGTTGTTTGTGCAGAAAATAAGCATTAGAAGTTATCTCAGGAAATCGTGTCGATTCTCACCTCGCAGGATGGTGTTTGAAAATTCACTGCTTGAAGGTGAAAAAGATGCAAGGATAAAGAATAGAACACGTTTTCTGGTAGTTTTTCTATGTAACAACAGAGGGAGCTCTTACAGCAGTCAAGCGAAGAAGCCTTCTAGCTCTTTGTGTGAACCCTAGTAAACACTAGGCATGCGGAAACAGTGCCGAGAGTTATTTTACCATCAAGTATCAGTTATTTGTCCCTTTTAATATGTCTGTGTGAGCATGCGTGCATGTTTGTATTTTGTTTAACCGGAAATGTATTCTCAGTGTAGAAGAAAGTTGGTGTATTGTACTCTGGAATGGTATGGTATGGCAATGGTGTGCATATACTTTCCATCCTGTTCTCAGCTTCAGTACATCGTGCCTGTCCTTTAGTATAGTGCTGGAGGGAGATACTGCACAGGGTTTAGAATCAGCGTGGCTAAGGGAAACTGCTCCGAGTGGATCATCATTCTGAGAGAGCTGGACAAAGGGCATTGCGCAGTGTAGGCATACACTGATGCCTTGGTCTTTTTTGTTTTTTCCCAATAGGCCAGAAGGCTTGCATCACTAGAGTCATAGCACAAGTCATAGTATCAAGATAACCTAACAAATCCTGCCAAAACACAACAAATGTCTACTTAGAACAAATTTAGGCTTCAGTTACATGCATCCACCTGCTGCTTGGATTGCTGCGGGAATTGTGTGATTTGAGGACCGTATTACACTGTAAGAGCCAGTACGGGAACTTAGCTTAGACTGGTTATTAAGAGATGGGTAGTTCAGTCTTAGGGGAAGGAAGATGTCCAACTGCAGTCCTACGCCGGCAGATTCACTGGGTGCATGTTGGCAGAGCCTCTCTTTAGCTCTCAGCCCACAACCAGTATAAACAGGAAGAATACTGGATGTCATTTGCTGTTGTCACTGTGCTGCATGTTCTCAAATAACAGACATTCCTATAATTAAGCTAGATATAACTACTGCTGTTTTGTTTCAGCTTTAATACATTTTGGCACTTTTTAAAAGCTGCTGGGCCATATTTATTATACGGATAAATCTGCAGAGTCAGGATTCACAAGAGAACTTTCTTTAAAAGAGAAGAATTACAAGTCTACAGATATTGTAAGTATTGTGTGGATGAGGAACAGGGATAGGTATGCAAGTTCAGTTTTCAACATGTAGAATAATATGTCCTGTAAATATAACCCTGAAGTTAAATATATAAATGTAGAGGTATATTCTGAAATAAATTAGTGGTAAATGTTTTTCCTAGTAATGCCTGCCACTTAGTAGTGTTTCTCCAAATGCTTGTGAATTACTGCTGCTCTGAAGAGCTTGCAATTTATGCAAGTTTTCTTAGGGATACACTCTTTGTAACGAGCATTAGAACTTCTACCTCAAGAGTGGTTCAAATCTGTCAAAGACTGGACAGTTTAGTAGCGCTTGAAGTGTGTGCAGTGCTGTAGAAAAAGGTAAGTTCTCTGACCCTGTGAAGTAGGGCCTTGCCAGGATGCTTTTGCAGTTGTCTTAGCTGATCACATCTTTTCCTAGGTCAGATTTTTTTTAATCTGATGCAGCATTTTCTGTACTCCATCTGCTATGCTGAGAAGGAATTTCTAGCATTTTTAAAAGTCAAAGCGCCATTGATACAATCCTATTTGCAGGAGAGGGGGGAGAAAGAGGTGACACTGTCAGAAGATTGTGAGAACAGAGATATTAAACATTTATTAAAGCCTCAGTTTAAAGAACATATTCAGGAATAAATTACTTAGGTGATGTCTACTTTAGGTATCATTGCAGCTGAATTTTGACTAATGTTCAAGTACGTTTTCCCAGAATTACTGAGGGTGAACTACAAATTAAGAATGTAGTTTTCCCTTTTAGTGCTTTTTGGTATTCATGTTATTGAAATTAATGTAGTCCTGCCATTATGAACGTACATGCTGATGCAGATACTCCAAGAGCAGTCAGGTGAAAAAGTTAACGCCTGGTGGCTTCTGTGGGATTTCTGAACACAGCACATCTACAGAATAGAGCTCTGAGCAAGTGCTTATGATTGGGGGGAAAAAAAAAATGTATGGCACACTGTTTGCAAATACAGGCCAGGATACTTTGGAGACTGCTTGGTTTTATAAGCAATGCAGGGAGCGTGAAATGTTTATTTTCCAGATTGAGATTGTTTTAGCTGTCCAGACTGTTACTTCTGTAACAGAACTAGAGCATTCATTACTGATGCCTGATCTTTTCCTTGACTCAGCTTGACACCACCCGAGTGACCGCAGACTTCTGCACTTTTTGATTATGAAATGCGGAGCAGTTGAATTCCATAGGAGAGCCTTTTCCAGAGTCAGGTAACGTCACATGATGAATGCAGAGGTCAATAGCCATTTCTCTTCCCACTTATATGATTTAATTTACTTATGAAGTTCTAGAATTTTACTTATGACCAACTTGCATTGTAAAGTTCAAACTTTTGAAGTATAATTAAATACCAGGCATAAGCAAGGGATCAGAAAGAATGGCCAAATATATTTTGTATGATGGGAAAAGAAAGCCGGTATAAACCCTCAGAGGTAATAATACACCTTCATGGAAAACATGGACAGTCCATGCTAAATGAAAATTGATTTGTTGTTATACATTGCTATGCCTACTGAAACTTCAGGTTCCATTTTCTCATTTCATTTTATGCTGGTGGATGTATATTAATTTAAATGGTGTTATTTCTTACATAGGTAATGAGTGACAAAAGATGATTATCTGATTAGTTGTCACACTGATTATAAGATGAGATGGGGTAAGTGTTTGACTTCAGATACACTGTATATATTGTAACTGGATTTACAGTGTAACATACATCGGATTTTGACCAAAAGGATGAAAACAATGAATGAAAAGATCACTGATGTTGTTACTGCACAAAAGCTGACATCATACAAGAAAGCAGTGTAGATGTAACTGCGATACTCCCCAGAGTGATTTCATGGTTCTTGTTTAATATTTGCAGCAGCTGAAAAATGAAGGTGCTTGTTAAATCGAACAAGACAGTGATGGGCTAAACCACAAAGTTTTATTATTTTTCTTTATAGCCATTTTTACTGTGCAGAATTGATTTCTAGCAAGGATACGTTATCAAATGGCAGGCCTGAGGTACGTGCTTCTTTAGTTGGCCTATTTACTTGCTAGCCGTTTTGTATTAAGCGTTCTCTGGAAGTTTTAGAAATCATGCTACATAAGAAAAAAAGTGCAAGTGCAGTGTCAAATATATACTCTCTAGAGCAAAGACAACTGTTACTGGGGAGGACTGGACTAGCGTTGCCTTGTATGCCTTATTTTCCTTCAGAAGAACCTGGTGTCTCCCCATCCAAGAATCAGTTGCTAATTATCTGTTGGGATTTAAAGCGATTTAGACCTGTGTGTTTTATTCAGCAACCTCAAGAATTTTCAGTCACTTCATCTTGAAAAAAATAAGAACTGTCTTAAAAATTCTGTTTAGCAAGGTGACAATATACTTTTACCCAAAGCGTCTGTAAAAGCCAAGTAGTATTTTAGTAATATTGAAACACCCTAAGTTACGTATAAAGAAGAGATGGAATTTCAAAAAGCTAGAGACATCTGTAAATGCCTAAGCAAGTTTAAAAATCCATTCCTTACAAAACTTTGTCCCCAATCTCAGACGTTATTTCGAAGGAGAATTACGCAGTTTCACAGACGGAGAGGTAGGAGAGCTGTCTTGCCACCTCGCTGGTAAGAGAGCTTCTGAAACATTTTTGATACTGGCAGTACTCACATTTCTTTTTTCTCTTATTTATTAATCAAACTCAGAATGTATCGTTTTCCCAGTGTTTGACAGACTTTATTTGGATAAAACAGTCTGGTCAAAATATAATAAAGTGGTTGTGAGTTTTAAAAATACTTCCAAGCATGAACAAAATTTACAGGTACACAGCATCACGGTCATATGCAATTTATTATTGCCAAGCTCTAACTAGCTGACTTAATTCCTATCTCTACTTGAGATAGGAAGTGAGTGCTGTGCTGCACTCACCACCTTCAAATGCAAACTTCACAAAGGTCAGCCACAGATTTATACCTTGATTTAATGAAGAAATTAGGCTCTTACAAGATAGGTGCTGAATTGGAGATTAAAGATACTGGAATGAGAGGAAATGTTGTGAGGTTAGTTACGTAGCCTAGTGCCCAGGGCTCTTACCTGAAGGAGGAAATCGTGAGCTGTGTTTCCTGCTTTGTGGAATTCTTCTGTCTTAGAATTAATTCGTTATTCATCTTCTGTCTTTAAATTAACTCATTATTCACTGGAAAAAGTACAAAGCCCATCCAAGATCCACTTCCCAGGTGAGTGCCCTTACCACATATAAGATGGTTTTGCTCTACCCTCCACTAAGAAATTTCATTAGACCTTAAAGAAGTGATAATACTATTTTTATTGCATTCTTGTCTTTGTGAGATTGTTGGGGTTTTTTTACGTTACTCAGGCAAGTTTTATGGAGAGAAGGAGATGGCTGTAACTTAGATAGCTTTCTGCATGCCTTAATCACAAGGCTGTTACGTGATGTGAGTTAGGTTTTCTGAAGTTACCAAAAGCAAAATAAAATTTTGTGATCCAGCTTTCACCAAATGCAAATCACAGGTAGAGGATTATCAGTATAAAAGAGTTTGTACTGATAAACAGATAAACCCTCATCAATATCTTTATATTGATAAAAGTCCATCAGTGGTATTCATTAGGACCTTTTAAGGAAAATTAAAATACTCAATTTTTAATTTTTTTTTTAATGTTGTTTCTTCAGGCTCTTCCCATTATTTCACTTTTTTCCTTCTAGCTTTCTTGTATCCCCACGGGCCAATTATCCTCATACTTTAAAGTACAGACTGGTAGGGAGAAATCTTTCACTGGTGGAAGATTAATGATCTTAGCGTGGTGACCTAATACGGTAAATGTGTT